TTCCACAAAAATATTTATAACTTTTGGGACCACAAAAATACTGTCGCACTCCCGGTACACATTTTCCTGTGTATTTTCCCTGCTCTGTGTTTGTGCGGCGACCCTTCAATAGGCCAGAAATCTAAGAAATTTATGCATGACTGCAACAGGGTCAAGTTTTTGGTTGCAGAAGGCTTTAGCCTCTAATGCCACGCAGCTGCTCTCCGAAAGGAGAAAAGTTGGAAAAACCAAAAGAGCTTGGAGCCCTTTTCCAGCAAAGGGGACTCCCCTCCCCCCCATCCCCCTCTGGCAGATAAGCAGATTTATGAGCTAAACAACGAAACTCGAATAACTGGAGACAGTGTTTGGGGTTTTTTGGTCTGGGGCTCGGAGGCGTAAAGATAAAACAACATACGACACATACACATATGTGGGGGAAGGGGCAGGCTGCACTATGAGAAGATTTATGGGGCACAGGACATAGGGATTGTGTCGTTGTGTCGTTCTCTGATGGGCAGAACCGAATGTCACCGGAAGTGCCAGGCAGGCGACTATTGACACGACATGTCCTCTTTTCACACACAGGACTCCGCTCCGCCCCACAACCCATTGCCATCATCATCTACTGTATATATCGTGGTAACTTCAGACGGGCGTATAATCTTACGCTGCGGTCACTCAAGGGAGGGGGGAGCAGGGGGCAGATGACGCGGCTTCCCGTTAAAGGACGGGTACCCCGCATGAACCCCAGGTAGAGGCCAGGTGTCAATTTCATTTTCATTAAGTTGCTTCTGCTTGGCTAGGTCCTCTCTTAATTTGCGTCACTTTGCTTGACCAAACGAGACTCAAATTTCAGCGGGCGAAAATCTACAGCAAAAAATAAGGTACAAACAGAAAGGAACTCCAACGCAGCGAGGTTTCTGCTCATTTGTAAAACAAGAAGCAAAAGGCAGGAGTACCAGGAGCGGCAGGAGCGGCAGGAGTACCGGGAGCACCAGGAGCGGCAGCGGCAGCAGAAGCCCTACTTATGCCTCCTCAGCGGTCGCTTGTCTTCATTTTTGCATTAATTAATACTTATTACGGCGAAAAAAAGGCAAAGCAGGAGGAAGAAGGGGCAGCAGGCCTTCGGTTCTCTGGGGGCTTAGGTAAAACTTTAATCACTTCCTTCAGGAGCAACATTTTTGGTCTCACTTGGTTGCTTCTTTTTTTTTTGAGCCTTTGGTAATTTGAGTCTGTTAACGTTGCTCTTTTTTTGGGCTGCTTTTTGGTTTTTGGACATGGACCTCAACCTCATCAGAGGCCAGGGGAAAGGCAAAAGGCAAAAGGGAAAAAAGGAAATTTCCTTTTGTGGCTGCCTCATAACCTAGCCGGGGACTTAATTAAAACTAATTCCATTTAAATATTATATGGAACATTTTGCGGCAGCGACAAGCGATTTTCACTTCCTTTTTGTTTAATTGAATTTTTGAGGCCAGTCTTTGTCTCTGTGGCAAAAATCAACGAAAAGATGCTCTCGTTTTTGTTTTTTTGTTTTTTTGGCTTAAAATCTTTGTAGAACTTTGGCTTTGTTTGTGTGCAGCCGCCGTAAACAAAGACAAAGTCACAAATTAACAGGGAATTGGGGGTGAGAGAGGGTGAGAAATAGAGACATTTTGGGATAAAAGTTTTAGCTGGCTGCCCTGGCGGAGGGGGCTAATGGAGGATTACAACTCTTACCAGAACTTACCAGCCAATACCACTCTCCGAGCGGTATGGAATCTTACCTTTCTCTGAATAAGTATTCTATTTATAAAATTTAATTACATTATAAATATATTCTGTGGTAATATTTATAAATTATGTCATTTTTATATTTGCTTTGCGGTTTTAGAATACAAACAAAATATATAGAAAATAATTAGAGTTAAAAAAAAAAACAAATTTGCATATATTTATTTATTTATGTAGCCATCAATGTTTGACATCAAATAGAGTCATCAAAATGCTTTGAATGGCTTCCAGACAGTGGGAGGACTTTTAATTAATGCATTCCGCTATATCGTACGGAAATTAATTATTCGGCAATCAAAAAAACCCCAGCCAAAACCAATGTGAAGCACAAAAGAAAATCATTTTAGGAAAAAAAAAAGAAAATATACTCGGTTTGACAATTGAAAACTGATTGCAGGGATTGCCAGTGCGAGTGTGATAGGGAAAAAGTTCTCTATTTAAATATTTGCATTTCAATTGGTTATTTGTATGTGTTGCATGCCCCTAATTGGCAGTTCGGACAACAACAAATTGTGGAATATAATTTCAAATTGATTGCTGGCAGATGCCAATGAGGCTAATGGCTGTAAGAGCGGAGTGGGGGGGTTGGAATGAGAATTGTGTAATTTATGAAGAGAGAATCTGCTAACTAGCTGAACCGCAGTAAATTAACACGGTAGTCCAGTGGCAGGGGCCAGGACTAGGACTGGGGCTAATTTGGCATAAAATATATGACTCCCCTCCACCCAGCCATCGAGCCATCCAAACAGATGGTGTCCATGGTGCAGCCAGGGAGGAGGAGAGGGAGAGAGACGGGATAATGCAATCTAATATTAATGCCCAAGCCGCCTGCATTTATTGGCATATAAATCACTTGGCCTGGCCACCAAATCACAGAAACACAATACACACAATCACTGGGCGAAAGAGTCGAGGCAGGGGCACTGGTTGAAGGGTGTTGAGTGTTGGGTGGTGGGTGGTGGTAGGGGGGGGAAAAACAATGCTGAAGAAGGCTTAGAGGGAAGCCAAAGCCAACGGCACTTACCCCATCGTCTAGAGTGTCTCAGTGTCTCTGTCTGTCGCACTCATTAGGGCCCATCCTTTATGTTCGCTGAATTTGCTCCGCTTCTGCTGCTGCCGCTGCCGCTGCTGATGCATTCTTCTTCCACTTTTTCGTGACTCTTTCATGTCAATTAATGCGACGCACTCTTCAAATATTAGCAGACATTATGTGCGCTGTCTTGACTGAGCCCTGGGGCTGCCTCTTCGAGCACTTCCGCCGAGCAACCATCCATCCATCCATCCATCCATCCAGTCGGCTAGGAGCTGGCACTGGCACTGTCACTGGCTTTGGCTTTGGCTGTGGCTGTGGCTGTGGCTCCATTCGCCTGGCTGTTTGCCCTGGGTCGCCGCACAATGAGCACACAAATGACTTTGAGCACTTCAGCCTGGCTTTTTGTTCTTTAATCGGGGGCATTATTACGATGCCTCTTCGTCTTCCATTCTGTCCTTCTGCCGCTTCTTCTGCTGTTGCTCAAGTGCCTGGGATTATGTGCTGACGTTGAATGCGCCGCTGATTCTGATTCAGAGGATTCGAGTGGCCTGGTGCTCTGCCGTTGGCTTCCTTCCTTTCTTCGTATGCACATTCTGACAGACAGACGGACAGCCAGACAGTTGAGTGTCAGTTGGAGGCGATCACAGGTTCACAGGGTCACAGTTGCTGCTGCTGCTGCTGCTGGCTGGATATTTGAACTTTCACCATCACCTTTTTGGTTCAGCTTTTTTTTTCCTGTCTGTTGGGGCACCACTTGCACCGACCCTCGCTGGCCAGTGACTGAGCTCTGCGCCAGTTGTGCGTCCGTATTTCAATGAAACGCCGCTGGCTTTTGCCAGAGCTTTGCCCCGATCCAAAGCTTTCGGGGACAGCTTTGCGTGTCGTATGCGTATAAGAGAGGGCGTTCGGCTTGTGCGCAGGCGCATCCTTAACGGATTTCGGCCGTCGGCCTTCGGCTTGGCTTTCGCTTCGGCTTTTGCTCGGCTCTGGCATTTAACCTCGTGCCTCTGCTCCCCTTCTGCTGCTTGTTCTATAGGTTTTTCCGCACATATGAAAATTAAAAGCGCTTAACAACAATTAACAATTGGCCGAGGCGGCATTCGGCAGGCGGCAGTCGGCAGTCGGCAAAAGAGAGGTGCCACCAGGGGCACTGGTGGTGGCACGAGGGATAGGTGTGAAGCAAACACAATTTTCTGGACAAGGCATTAATCAAGACAGTTGTGACACTAAAACTCCGCCAGCAATTAATCAACAGAAAAGGAACCGTACCCAAAACAGAAGTTGCCTTCTGCATTAACTGATTGTTGTGCTGTTGGCCAGCAGCTCAAAGCCAGCCAAAACTTGTCAGTTTGAATAAAAGTTTAGTTCAAAGACACACACAGAAGATACTGAATATCGAATCAAATCAAAGTTTGATATGACAGCCAGACAGACAGACAAAAATGATACTCTCCTCTCCTCTCCTCTCCTTTCCGCCTGGATGGTGTTTTTCTTTCAGGCAAAGTTTCCGCCTTGAGAAGTGGCCTCAACTTTTGGCCTGGCCAATGCAGCAGAAACCATGGCATAAGTTCATATTCATGTTCCACCCTCTAGAGAGAGGGTGAACGAGGCCCAACACCGCCTCATCAATTTATCAATTAATAGGACTAATGAGCAGGCCGACTGCTAGATCCCAGTGTCACTAAATGCAGGACAGGACCCTTCCCTGTGCAAAATTAATTAGGATTCGCTCGTCAACAAACTCTGACACCTAGCATAGCTATCACTATGCTGTATGTACACTCGTAAAGATGTATAGACAGGCATCTTTGGTGACCTAGTCGTAGTCCCCGTCGCCGTCGTCTTCGTCGTCTAACTAGATTCCATAGCTTGGCAAATTGACAATCAAAGCAAGTAATCAAATTTGCTGCTCGACATTTTTCATTAGAATTATTATATAGTTACAAGTTCCGACTGCAGCGGCGGCCCCCTACGCAGTGCGCCCACAGAACATTATTTATAGCGCCCACATCAAAGGCGTAAAATTGCTTGGACAAGAGACCTTTAATCAAGGAATCCCCCTCTATCTTATCAGAAGGGGAGTAGATATGATGCATGGCCATGAGAATGGTTTTCTGAGAATTGAGAACAAAAAAATCCACATCTAAGCAGCATTTTCCGAAACACTCCGGAAAAACGAATCACAGTCCCAAAAATTGTGTGATATTTTCATTGGTGCTACTATTTTTGAAAATCATAAATATAATCGAACATTCCGAGTGATGGCCGAACCGAATCTTATCTATGAGGATACCTACTCCTCCAGCTCCACTACTTCGGAAGACTCTGAGTATTTTATGGCTGAGGGGTGCTCTCAAAAAGAACATGATGAATCTTCCACATCCACTGATTTGAGTTCTTATAATGATCCTTCGGAGGGGTCCATAAAAGACGATGGGGCAGCAGACGCCAGGCCAGGATGTGGTAAGCCGTAATCTAACGAATTTCTGCAAAATTAAACCTTTCCACTTCAAAGGATCATTCGATTTTAAAAATGGCCAATTAGGCTTCTGGTGCGTTATTTGCTAATCTGTACGCTGCGAAATAAAAAGTAAGTACAGTCCTTTCTTGGCCTTCAATAACTATAGATACATATATCTATTTGCAGCATGCCCATTCCACATTCCTTTAAGACGACCAAAGGAATTTTTAAATATAAATTTTTGTGTGGGTTTTCAAACAAATAAATATAATTACTACTTGTGCAGCAATTTTCAAATTCCTTAAGCCCTAATTTATTTTCCATAGATTTATTTCCTTTGTCCTTTGATGCACGCCCCAAAAACTATATTCACTCGTAATTTGAAGCGACGACTGGTCTTTCATTAAGTCGCTGTGCAAATCCATGTCTGTGTCATTGAATAACTACAAATCATGCAGGAATCAAATGGGGGGAATGGGATATATTCTATGTCCTCCCACTAGGGGGCTGGGGGCTGGGCTTGTCATTTAATATCCGCAATTAAAGTGGTAATCAATCAAAATGAACAGGCGGAAAAACCTAAATGAATTAAAAGCAAACGAAGGAACAAAGCAAAGGATGAATGCACAGGACGAACCGAACAGAACCGAAACGGAATGGGAAGCGCCACAAACACAATAAACAGAACGAAGAGAAAGAAAAACCGAAGCGCAGCAAATGAACGGAAAAACGGGCCAAAAAGAAAAGGAAACTAACAAAAAAAAGGCAACTGAACAAACAGCCAGAAACCAAAGAGAGAGAGAGAGAATGCACTGCGGGAATACTGCGGAGTGCCGGAGGCAAATAGCCGCGGAATTCTTAGCCATCCATAAAAACGTAAAAACAAACACGTGAATATCCAAAGATTATAGAATAAACAAAAGATCAAAGATAAGTGCCATTACCTTGATTGGCGGTGTCTTGGCCAACAAGTGATTGCCGTGAAGAGCGCAACGAATGAGACAGGAAGAAAAATATATAAAACATATTCTCGACTTTTTCTCAGTGTATTCTCCAGTTGTACCTTCCGTTTCTCACCCTCTCCCCGCCATCTACGGTTCCGAGATATCCAGGGTCCAGGGGCAGGCGATAAACAAGTGCTATACAAACAAAAATGGCAGCACTGGAACGCTGGAACCTATTGATGATTGAGCAGGACATTAATCTAACGAAATGCAGACAGCCCAGCCCATCGCAGCCCATCGCAGCCCATCCCAGCCCAGCCCCCCAGGACAAAACACTGACCAACTGTGAAAGTGTCAAATTTCAAGCCACACATTGTTGCTGCTGCCTCCTCGTTCGGTGTCCGTCCGCGGCTACTACTGGCTGTGTCCGTGCCTGGTGCCAACGGCGTCTGGGGCCACGTAAGCAAACATAATTACGCCAATGCCAGTGGAGCACATACAAACACACACAGAGGTATATACTTATGATGTACATAATAAAAGTATGTATCATATGCGTTATTCGGCAGGACATATGGAAGATATGCGTCAAAAGTCGGTTTTCCCGTACGGGTGGAAAGCGGACAATACTGCTTGCCCTGCTTTAGCTTACACATGAACTGCTTGGCGAGCGACAGTGAACTGCTTGATGGCTAAAATTGTTCCACCTATGCGTTTGTGTAACTCAAATAACTGTCTACTTATTTTAACCAAAATAAATAAAAGAAAAAATTAAAAAAAAAAGAAAAATAAATCCAATTGGCGACAACGAACGCCCCATAGCAGAGCAAGGTTTCGATCCTCGGACCTCTGGGTTATGGGCCCAGCACGCTTCCACTGCGCCACTCTGCTATATGTTCGGCCTATAGCGCGAAGTTCCATATAAGATAAGCACATGAATGAAAGGAAACTCGACTCCCTTTCCGATAGAATACAGATGATTATCAATATTTAATGGCCAAGAGCTGTGTCATTTTCAGAGGCCTAAAGTCATTTGTTACTGTGGATTCCCAGTACTTTTTAGTTCAAAATTCCTCTTAAAATTCGTTTCGGGCTTAATGAACATTTTGCTTTGTAGGAAGAATTTTCTCTGCAATATCACAAAAGCTGACGAAATGCCATTGTGGATGCGATTGCATCTCCTGTTGCAACATCATCGCAATTTTGATGCGTTTGACACGTCTATAGGCCAGAGGCAGGAGCCAGAGTGGCAACCAAAGCAGGAGCAGGAGCAAAAACAAGAAAAAGCCTATGGGTCACATGAAGATTCCGCTCATTTGCTGTCCATCACAAATTAGACGGCAAATTAGCACACAAAACTGATGCACTGACGTGGCTCGGTGCCACTGCTGGCTGGGGCTCGTCGAGTGTTGAGTTACCTCAAAAATTGCCGTTCTGCAACTGTGCAATATGCTGCTGCTGCTGCTGCTGCTGCTGCTGCTCCTCGTAATGATTCTGTGGTGTTGGGGCACGAAAACCAAAGGCCCGTTTTGGGCGGAACACGTCCAAACAGGCACTGTGCCCTTTGATATTATGGCTATGTCAACGTCATCATCGGGGACCGGATACCAAATGGGTTTTCAATGGATCCCTCACATACAGTAGCTCTGCTTCCTGCAATCTTTTGGCTCAAATTCGCAATCCGCCCGCAGTTTGGAAGCAGAAAAGGAAGCTTAAAAGAGAGGCCTATACGTGTGGGGGACGGGCCTCTGCTTTTTCTCCTTCTCCTTGGCTGGTTATTAAATTTTGAAATGCTACACCTTGTGCGGTATCGGATTGCCCATTCAACGAGGCGAGAGCCTAAGACAAAGGGCCACTCCACTCGCCCCCCTGCATGCTATCGAAATTCATGCAAAATTCAAAGGCCCAAGAGCCAGCATAAGAAAATATGCCACATCATAAATTCTGTACACATTTACTATATGTATATATACTGTGGCTGTGGCAATCCTTTCACGAGCGCACAATCCCACACACACACACACACACACACACACAGACAGATGTTGACACAGTTTTCCTTGAGCTCAGCACAAAAATGTCTGTCTATTTTAATATGAACCCAAATTGGGGTTTTTATTTATGCACGAGTTTAGTTTACAATACAGTTCGTACCTCGTACAGCTCTCGTGCCTCAAGGAACCGACACCAGACCGCCACCACCACCACCACCGCCAGCACCACCTTTTTGTACCCTACTGTACTGCCATTTGCGTGTGGCATGGCTCTCCGTGTGGTCGTGTGGTCTGGGCCATACAAAATGCACAGACAATGGCCAAATGACTCAAAAAGCAACCAGAAAGTAAAACAGATACCGAAATTTTCAACTACAAAAAATATCATCATAAAAATCTCCAGCAGTTAAAATAATTGTCACAGTAATAAAGCGATTGCAATGCACAAAATTATATCTCATCCGCATACGAGAGGGTGGTTCAAAGAGTTCGGGGAGAAGAATATTATGAAGGGCATAATATCTAAGATCTTCTTCACACAAGGATCAATGTCTTTCCTTGATTTATATCGCAATAGTGATCATAGAACCATAGGGATAGCTGTTTTACAATCAATTGAATGGAAAATCGTCTTAGGAAAGAGCTCACGCGTCATGCGACAGCGCCCTTCGGATCGAATCTTATTCAAAAACTCTCTTTTTCAATAGATTCCTCTATGTTTTTCCTTCTCTGAACTCCATCTCTTTCGGTGACTTTCTGGCATCTTCATCAGCGTCCTTGCATCTCCACGGACACCCGCCATCCGCATGGAGCTGCCCTCGGGTGCCCCTTGGCTGGGGAGTACGCTCCCGCCACGCTCCGCTTTCTGTGCTCCCTGTTTCTGGTTGCACTTGCTCCATTTTATAGCTGGCAAACATTATGGCCATGATTAATGGCAGATAATAATTTCGAGTGCCGAGCACTTGACAGCATACGAAAAGTCAGAAAACTATGGCCAATGGACGGCCATTAGCCACCCCGTCTCCGCAGCGAAACCACCCACCCACCGAAAAGGAAGGACGGGAAGGGGCAACTCTGCAAATGACTGCTGGAAAATAAACAGCAACTGCAACTGCAACTGCAACAGCAACAGAAGCTGTACTGTGCTGTGCGAAGCATTAAACTATTGCCATGTTCTGTTTACGGCATTAAATGCTTCTCTGCCTCCCCCACCCCCTCTTTGTACAGTATACCCCTCTCAGACACTCCCCGTTTCGACCTTCTCCTTCAGCCTTTCAGCACTCGTGTGATTTACTCCGCTTGCCGCATAAATTACGATGAGAAAAACTGTCCCGGCCGCGCGTTGATCAGCAAATTATTTTATGCAAGCAACAAGAAAAATATACCCAAAAAATGTTAAAGAAAATATAAACGGAATAAGCGGATTTTAAGGGGAAATAAATAGAAAGTGGAGAGGGGAGCACATCTAGCATCCTCTTTCGGGGCAGTCGGAGGGTCAGGTCAGCCATTATCGTGACCACATGTTGGTTGCGCTGTCATCCAGTCAGAAAACCCAGCCGCCACAGCCACCAATTGATTTAGCATTGGATGACCCTTCCACAGCCACAGCCACATCCACAGCCGCAGAGCTAAACTCCGGATACCCATCCGTCGCTGCCCCTCAACGGAAGTTCTGTGCTGTTTGCAGCAGCTGCAGCAAATGGCATTCAAATCTTGGTTGGGTTTTTGTCCTTCAAAGAGCTCTTGAATGCTGCACGGAAAATTCCATTCAAGTTCTTTAAATTCGAAATATAAATAGAAATTGGGAGCTTAAAGACAGCAAAATTCAGTCAATTTTGGGGTGAAGTTTCGGGTTACTGCTGCTGCTGCCGGGACGCTGGTTAAAAGCTTCATCTGTTGTGTGGCAGAACGAGGGCCAAGGGGATGGGAACGGGATGCCATGGCTGACGGACAAATAAGTGCATTCCTTCGGAGCAGGGTGGGGCAGGGCGGGGCGGCATTCCTTTTGTGCGAGTCATAAAATTACTTTTTATCATTGTAACATGGACAGCTAGCATTCTGCCTCCTGATGTGGCACATATACTCGTAGTACACCGACAAGTGCGAGTATGTGTAGTTTTTATGACATTCGCCGCAAGGCGGCGACGCGCACGTTACTTCTTTATGTGGCATGCGACTAAAAGGATGCTGATGCTGTTACCCCTTCCGCCTCCTCTCGACTCGACTCGACTCGACTCGCTCCACTCTGTCTTGGCCTCTTGCCTCTTGTTGCAATGTATTAATGGCTCGCTTGCACGCTAATAAGCATAAACGGCAGGCTCCTCAAGGAGTCTGCGCTTCGCTGCCATTCGAAGGATGTGCGTGTCGCCTTTGACTTCATTGTGCACTTTATTAATGTTATTAAAAATTCTAACAAATACCCAGCACTCCGGACATGGTCCAGGGAGCCGCTGGCCGCCCGCCCTTGCCAATGCACAGCGGTTTATTAATGCCACAAAAAGGGGCAATTAATGGGGGCAACAATGTGTGGCTCGAGGACTCAGCATGCTCGAGTAATTTTAAAGCCAGTCCCCGAGCATAAATAAACTCTGCCCCAAAAATGTACCTAAATTCACTCCCAAGTGAATTTTTTTCCTTTGAAATATTTGAAGAATTTTCCCACACAAAATATAAACCGAAAATCCACTTCAAGTTGGGGGTCCGAGGGCCCAATTGCAACAGGTCTTGCTTGCCCCTGATTCTCGGTTTATCGACACCATTTGCCAGCTTTCCCAATTGTTTGCCCATGCATTAGGCGAGGAAATGGAAAATTTCTGACAGAAAGGAAGTCGAAGTCGAGCCAGAAAGCCATTCTCTGGTGCAAATGTTGATTTTCTTCTTTCCCAAAAGCAATAACCTTTTGGGCTTTGAATCTGGTTAAGAGGACTTAATTAAGATAGCAAGTGGAAAGTGGAAAGTGGAAAGTAGAATGTAGAAAGGAGTTGCATCTCATTGAAACGCAACAGTTGTAGGGGGAATGGGGGAAGGGAGAGGGGGCTGTGGCAACTTCATTTGCAGCCAAGTAAATGCCACATTACGGGGGAATGGCATCCGCTGCCCGGACACTGTACAACAATTGCCAATTTGGTTTAAATATTTGCGTCAAGTGCAAGTTTTTCGGTCACTTCCGTTGCGCTCCGTTGTTGCAGCTGCCACTGCTGCCGGCCACTGCTGATGCTGTCAGTTGATTTGTGTCCCGAGTTCTCGTTGGACAATTTCCACAGTTAATGTCTCAAGGAATGTGGCAAACTATGTTGCCAGGATGTTGTCACCCTCTTTGTGCGGGTGTGTGTATTAGAGGAAAGCGAAAAACTGCTAGAAATCGACTTCCGCCACGAGAATTTCCATGCTGAGCGGAAATGGAAAAACACTTGCAGGCACAATCCCCATTTTGTTCTGACAAAACCACACCCTGTACCCACCCTACGATTGTGGCGCTGCAATTAACGGGAACACATGCAGCTAGGAGCCCAAAAGCAGGTCAATAACGTCCACGAACGACCCTCATCGATATACTATATATATTTGATGTTAACTCAATTTGATGCCAGCACCCACCGCTGTGATCCTTGGGGCTGGACCCCGATGCGTAATGCTTTAATTTAGTCACAATATTGTACTTCCAGTGCCTCCACGCCGCTCCTTGTCGGTCGCCATCCACTTAATAGCCAATTAAGGGTAGACGACGATACAAGAAATAATTAAATAGCCAGGCGCTGCATGGAGCTTTGCTCTTAAAGTGCCACCATGGCGTATATGTAATCTCCGGGAGAGCGTGCGCTTTACGCTGCCGCCCGAAAGTATGCAACACAATCCGCCAGTGCCCCTTGAGCTATGCAAATTTAATTGGAAATTTCATAATGGGCTGCAGCTATATGCACGGACAGCATCTAAATAGAAGGAAACGCTTTCCGATTTTTCTCCGCTACAGATGGATACATAGGATGCTCCTTTTCTCTCCAGCTACTGCTATTCTGATACCCAACAATCGCGGACTTTATTGGGTATATACAGAGGTATGCCAGCCTAGAATCTTGGATGTTTTCCGCCTTTGTAAGATGATTGAATAGCCCCCCAAAATATTAATTTATTTTCCTTGAAAAACAAACGAGAGAATATTTCACGAGTTTGAGACGAAATTTGATTGCTACCATAATTAAGAGACTTTCCGTCTATTTCTCATGTTTAATCTTCGATTTAATAATAAAAAACCGAAAAAATTACTTAAATATTCTGACAAAATAATAAAAAAGTTAACTGTAAATACAGCAAAAAAAAAACTACTGTAAATACTGAAAATACAAAAACAATTACTTTAACTACTATACGGAAAATATTTTTAAATACTTAAACAATACTGTAAGAACAAAAAAATACAACAAAATACTGATAACTCCTAAAACCGACTGAAAAAATATGCAATTGTCATCGTGATTTACCATAAATAATTTCTATACGAATACAGGGTATCTGTGATTACAGAGACACCCGAATCGATTGCCCTGCTTCAGAGGTACTTCTACTCATTATCAAAGTGCAAAGTGGAAGGTCACTGGCTTAATATTTCAGGCGCAATTATGCAGCTGCGCATCAAAAATCAAATACAACACTAAAAAGTGGCAGCTGCAATCAGAGCTGCGGACCTGCGGAGCTACGGAGCTGAAGATGCTTCATGCCTCATGCTCCCAACATCGTTTTTGGCTCATCATAAAATTCAATTTGGCGCAAAGTGTTTAATGAAAGCGTCAGCTTGGTTCCAGACCCCGCCGGACTCGGACTCGGAGTTGGAGTCGGAGTTGGAGTCGGAGGCGGAGTCGGACCTCGGTCGCACATTTCCAGCTAGGAGCCAACTTTTTCGCTACACAGCAGGTCATCTCGAGGCCATTAACAATTCAGAGGGAATTTCGCAATGGCAGGAAAGAACCAGGCAACGAAAAAAAACACCCAAGCACCCACCAACTGTGCGTGGAATGTGAGAGAATTTGAGGAAAAGCTCTGAATTGTTTTACATAAAAACACGCTTTAGACAGCAAATTATGCAATACAAGAAGACAAGGTTGGGAAAGTGCAATGGCTGTGATAAAAATTAACAAGCTACGCAACGTTTGAGTTTTGAATTAATTGAAAGCGCGTATGCGCGGGCCCTCACAACAGGGAAAACAACCCCAGGCTCTCTCTCCGGTCGCCAGAGTTCCGTAAAATTATAAATTCGCATCTAAATGAATGCTGAAAAATTAATGAACTGCATGCAGTTTAATTGAAATGAACATTCATGGGGGAGAAAGCAGCGAAAATAGGGGAAAATACCCGTTGGAGAGTGCAGCAGAACCCTCAAAAGGAACGATGTTTTTCATAATGAATGCCGCGATTTAATCAGGCGAAAATTCATACATTTCTTCTGTTTTTCTGTTCAAGTTAAGGTTAAAATTAAGGGAGTTTTTGTAATATTTATTAAAATTTAAACGAATTTAAGAAATAAATTAATGGTGGATCTATGGATCGGATTATAATTTAAGCACAAATTAACGAGGGGGAACGTTGTGAGTTGCTGCGGACACCGCAACTCTACGGTTATACCCGATACTAAGTCAGTATGGCTCTCCTCCGGCAGACGCCGCTAATATTTAACGACACGACAAAGAGTGCGTGCGAGAGAGACAGAAAATCAGTCTGAGCGTGACGTCGGGCGCTGCGTAGCCAGTGCAAATTGATTTGCTCCTTTTGGCTATGAAAATGATCTGATCTGATCCAGATTCAGCAACCTGATAGATATGGTTATTATCTATGATTCTGCGTTTTTAGTTTTCTCAAATCTGCAATATTGTGGATGCAACAGATTTTCGTCCTTTGTGGGGGCGGATGGGGGGGGGGCGAAATTCTGAGATATACGTTTTATAGTGACATCTTAAAGGAGTGTGTGTACCAAATTTGGTTACTCTAGCCTTAATAGTCTCTGAGATTTGTGGTTGCCTCAGATTTTCGTCCTTTGCGGGGGCGGAAGGGGGTGTGGCGAAATTTGGACAGGAAACGGTCAAGGTCCGATATCACAGGAGTGTGGATACCAAATTTGGTTGCTCTGGCTTTTATAGGTTCTGAGATCCTTGAACTCATATTTTGCAATTGGCAAAACCGACCATGAAACCTGTGTGTTAGAGTGAGACAGAGCGAGAAAGAGTGAAATTGTTTTCGTGATTCTGGCTGTAATAATTATACGATCTGGTTCAGATTTTGCACTCTAGAAGATATAGTCATCTTCTACGATTCTGCGTTTTTAGTTTTCTCGTATCGTCAAAATTGTGGATGCCACAGATTTTCGCCCTTTGTGGGGGCGGAAGTGGGCGGGGCAAAGTTTTGAAATATTTTTGGAGCAGTGACATATCACAGAAGTCTGGATCCAAAACATCGTTGCTCTAGCTCTTATAGTCTTTGAGCATTAGGCGCTGAAGGGGACGGACAGACGGACAGACGGACAGACGGACAGACGGACGGACGGACAGACGGACAGACAGACATGGCTCAATCGACTCGGCTATTGATGCTGATCAAGAATATATATACTTTATGGGGTCGGAAACGATTCCTTCTGGACGTTACACACATCCACTTTTACCACAAATCTAATATACCCCAATACTCATTTTGAGTATCGGGTATAAAAAGTAATTTTGGGCTGATTTTTCATTTGTTTGTAAGTAGTATAAAGACGATTGTGACTCACCTCCATGTTAGATCCGTTTTGGACCATTTGGGTCCCTGGAGAACGTAGCGCCGCACACGTATACTAATGCCACTGTCATGATCCAGATTGTCGGGAGAGAAATTATACGCGTACCTCTTGTCGCCCACACCGCAGCGGGGCTGCTGTATTAGCCTGGCCGTAGCCTCGTCGATTTCGCCCGTAACTGGAATGTTGCCAAAAAACTGCCGCCACCGTCGCCACAGGAGTAGACACAAGTTGTGCGATTGTTTGGATAGAGGTAGAAGGTAGGCGGGCAGGCGGGCAGGCAGCAGTGGCAAGTAGAACACAGTAATGTTGCTCGTATAATGGACAAGGGGAGGGTGTGCACATACCTGGAGACTCCGTACTGCATCTACCAGCTGCTCCGCGGTGCGCAGGGCTCCCGTTTCCAGGTCCGACTTGGGCAGATAATCAAACTGCATGAGGTAATTGTACTGCAAGGAGAACGGAGGATAGGACAGGTTGGTGGAGATGCTTAGATAGATGGATAGATACATTAGGGAAGTGTGCCAAAGGCAGACCGAGCACTAGTGTCTCAGCGGCAACAACAATGCAGATGTCTGGCCATATGGCCGGTTTTGTGAGCCAAACTGTTTGTCGTTTGCAAATGGTACTGAAGGGGGAAAAAAACAAATACCCCCCCGGCCAATGGAAAAACGCCTACCAAAAACGAGAAGAAAAACTTTTTGCATAAAGTTAATGATAAAAGCAACGCCAGATACAGCAGCAGCAACAACAACAACGGCAACAAAAAAACTTTAACATTAATAAGCCAAAAAGTATGCCACAGGAAAATGCCGATGGAAAGAGTAAGAGGCAGAGGCAGAGGCAGAGGCAGAGCGTGGGCGAGTGCCCTTCTGGGGCACTTTCTTATCTGTTGGACTTTAAATATACGCCGTATGAGGCTTGGCAGTCGACCCCACGATCAACGGATCGCAGAAATAGTGGAAGGGAGGGAGAGGTCCTTTTCTGTGAGGAGACAGCAATAGGGTTAGAGGTACGAGATTACAATCGTACTATGGGGCTTAATCCAATCCTTTATAAACCCAGTTTCTAACTCTACGATTTGTAGTCTTTGTTATTATGATTTCTCTTTTGAGAATTATGCTGTTATCGAATCAATAAATTCAACGAGAAAAACCTTCGGCCATCCCTTGAGGGATTATATTCTCTCTCACATATGTATGGTTTATCTGCATATGTATTGGGTCACAGTCGCATAACTGTAAACTGTGACACTAGAAAATACAAAACACAAATAGAACTCGACTCCACTCGATTCGACTCGATTCCCTGGCCATATGTGTTGTGCGCTGCCTCTCGATTTACATATTTTTGTCCATTGCGTGCGGGCTCGTACACTCTGTATTTATTCACCAGCCGAAACACACCCCCTACCGCCCTCCCTCCAGTACTCGAGTGGCTCCCCTTCCCTCTGGGAGCCAGGGGGGCGGGGGACAACAACTTGACACATACACCAGCAAATTACGTGACCTGCAAATTTAATTTTCCACTTTTCAAATTCTCCCCCGCACAGATGAGAAAATTTTCACACTCACGCCATTTTCCCGACTCCATGATGGACAAAATATTCGATTTTTGGCTTACTTGTTATTGTCAGTCGATTCCCCAGAAGAAAGCAAACTTTTGAATCGACCAAACGATTTGCAAATTTCATGAAAAGAATCGTTAGCCAATATTCCGGGCAGAGAAGAGCCCAGGAATATGAATGGGTGCCATTCTTATATGTATATGTAAGCGAGTACGTGATGTGTGGGGGGGCGATTATGTAGTTGAGATTTATCGACCTGATGAATGGCTTATCCACTTTTGGGTTTCATCGTTTGACTCTGCTGAAAACTTGTCTGCTCCGTCCCGTGCCCGTGCCCGTGCTCGTTCTCGTGTGTGGCATTCGAAAGTTAAAAGTTTTTCGGCCAACGTAAATAGAAATTATTTTAGTGGAAAAACCGCGTTGAAACGGATGGTAAATAATGCAAGAAGCACATCGGAACTTCCGCAAAAAGGTCCACCTTGATAACAAAAACATTCAAAAATATTTCCATACCGATATAACTTTCTAAATTGATTGAAAGTTAACTAATTTAACCAATTGACAGGCAATTTCATTAACTTTTATATGAAAGAAGATGAAAGATTTTGGAAAATATCCTTAAAACTTGACTTTCGATTTTGGTTACCTATTTTCTATTCAAATATTCAAAACGCCAGAATGGAAGAATGCTGTGGTAAGAGGGAGATAAGCATATTACAGTGCTCGCATCTAACGGGATCAGTTATCTTTTGCTTATTTTCTCTTTCCCTTCGTGTCTTTGTTGAAGAGCAAAGAGAGCTTAATGGAGTCGTATGAGAGCTTTTGCTGCGCTCATAATCAAATTATACAAGGTGGCCGGAGAGATTTCTCTGCGGTGGTGGACCCACCCGAAGGCCTCTCCCCGAAGGTGCTGTAATAGTCGGGATCTGGAAGCCTATCCGCGATGCTGCGAGAGCGCTGCCAACAGTTCTCTGCCCGCTGTCCGCTGTCGATAAGCGCTGCCAGCAGCCAGCAGCCAAGCTCCGCGACACACAGCCGATCATGTCGATCGAAGCTATAGCTTCGGCAAAAGCCACACTTGAAAGCTCTACTCATGATGAAATTATACCGCACAACTGAGAGCGCTTTGGCGCCGTGTTTGGTGAGAGAGAAAGAGAAGAACGACGTGTGATGTTGTACTGGGCAAAAGTATATCCGAAAAGAGTGCACGTTGCTGCTTACAGTTTACAGTTTTTTACTCTTTACGATTGTTCCAAGAAACGGTTAAACACTGAAGCACTGAGAGCGAGCACAGCCTTGGGTTCGTTCCAGGACGCGATGCAATTGAATTCACTTCATTTTGTTAGCTCTTTTGTGTGGGTGGGTGGGTTTTGTGGGCGACTCAAGCGTTGTATAACGCTTAAGCGTAACACTCAACGCCCAGCACCAGGACATCTTCTGCGCTGGAAATGAAGCTTATCAAGTGACTTTCTTTCAACATCGATGTACAAAATGTACAAACAGTTTTTTTTATTTTTTTATTTGATGGCCATTGTTGTTGCCGTTGCTGTAGCCGTTTCCGTTGTTAGTCCTTGGGGCCAGTGGCAACCTTTGCAGTGCTTCTTGGTGCGCTTTGCGCTTTGCGCTTTGCGTTTTGCATTTTATTTGTTATTTTACTAAACCATTACTCGCTTTGACGATGTAACCCTCACAGCATGGAAGCAACAGCAGAAGAGGAAGGGGCATCAATGGAAATAAACCTGACACCGAGTCCAGTGCAGACGTATCCCACAGGTACAGAGCCACAGAAGTACGGGATCAGGGTACGTATGTGGCACAGATTGCAGTGGCAAATGTGCGTCACAGACAAGCAAAAAGTTATAACCCACTCCCTTATGGGCTGTCACGTTGCTGGGAGTGCGTCAGCAGCAGCAGCAGCAGCAGAAGAGTCTCTACGTAACGCAAAGTAAAACGTAAGAAATCCCCCAACACACCGCAAGCAACAAATTGAAATTCATATAACGTGCCCCCGGCAGAGCCATGCCGTATGCCCCCGGCCATGGATCAGCATGGGTTCCAATACTGCCTTGTGGGGTCTCTCTCTCTCTCTCTCTCCCTTTTAGCTACACGAAAACAATATCAATTAAAAGATATGTGTGTTGAAATGCAAAAACCAAATCGATGAGGGGCAGGGGCAGGGGCAGGGTAAACGCACGATGTATAATGTGGCATATAGCGGAAGCCGAGTGTCTGTCTGTCGCAGAGAGAAAGAGCGACGCATAAAGTTTCTTAATGAATGGAAGAGAACCGACGATTGGCAAAAGGCACTCCACTTGTACACTGAACGAAATTAGCATATAATGCATTCAAAGATATTCAAATATTGCAATATTTCTCCCAGGGTGCTTGGGGTTCTTCTGTACTTTATTCATATTTTTCGCTCAGTGTATTGGCAATTTGGCTAATCGAAGACTCTGCCGACTATAAATATATCTCTTAGGCAAGGTGTGCCCCAGCCGCCTGATGATCACGATGATGGGCCAAACATTTTACGACCACGAATAAACTACAATTCAAAGTTATGAATGAGTGAATGAATGAATGGCTGGATGAGTGCGTCGAGTGCTTCGAATGAGTGAATGAATTGCACAGGTCCCCATCGCCCATCCCCATCGCCCCTGCTTTCCACCTGGGTGGTGGCCAGGGCCAGTGGCAATCATTTATGCATTGGCCTTTGCGTTTTTAATGGGAAACGCTGTTGGCCAAAGCTACGTGTTTGAAAATCCGAAAGAAGTGCGGGGGAACACAGTCCCAGTCCCAGTCCAAGTCACAGCCACAGCCCAGTTGTCGTACGTGGCCAAGCCATGATTCCGACTAATAGAAAAATAGAAAAGCTGGGAAAAAAACTGGACAAAAAAATGGAAAATGTTTCGCAAACAGAGCGGAGAGTGCAGCTCCGAGGCGGGATTGGTGCTGGGGATGGGGTATGAAAAACAATAACAGTAAAACATGGCTACGTGAGTATTTGTCGTGTAAACAAAATCATCTTATCAAAATATAATAACAGAAACCAATAACAGGAGAAACAATTGAGACAAGTGCGAGTGCCGCCCGACGCGAAAGGGGTTACGGGTTACGGGTTACGGGCTACGGGGCTTGGGGAAAGTATATATTGTTTATTGCTTTTATCGGCCACTCTGAGACCCCACCTCTACCCCCCTGCCACACACTCTTTCGCTAATTGTTTTTTGGGCTTAATTTCGTTAAGTTTTTTCTGTGGCACTAGGCAAAAGTTCTCGGCCTTCGGTGAAAGTGTGAAAGTAAATTGAACGATAAACAAGGGCGATATGTCTATTATTTTATTGGATTATAATCACAATTAAGCAGGTAGGTGGGGCATGCCACATAAAAGGGAAAACAAAGACAAGACAAGCCTCAGAGCTGTAGATACCCTCCTTACAGGTAATACACTCAGAGAAAAAGAAACACAAACAGATTTAAGCTAAATATTCGTCGATTTTCTTTTGCTTTGATTTAAGTATGTCTCAGAAAAGCTTTAAAATAAATATAAAATTTTAAATTTGTAAAAAATATATTTAATTTAAATGTGAAATATAAATGATCAAACATTTTTCCTAGTGTAAATATTAAAATATTAAATATTACATTTATTTTTTCTCTGGGTGTACCACTTTATGGATTTGCCATTCGTTGCTCTGACACCTTCATAAATTGATCCCTTTCTTTCAGTATTTTTCCATTCCCAAGGTCCTGATAGTCCCCTTGCAAGGAATCCTTAGTTAATTACTAAAACTGGTGGACTCACCCTAAGGTATTGGAAAATCCTCAGTTAATCAAGAGTTTAGGACCCGCACAAACAAATCAAATTGGTTTATCTCCCAG